AATGATGTTTCTTCCTTTACATATTAACTTTAAATTAAATTTTACAAATAAATATATCAAGAAGAGGTGAATAAAATGCTTTTAAAATTGAATTAAAATTTTGCAATTTTTGTACAATTTAAAAATGTAACTCTGTCAAAAGAAAAAATTTAATAGTTTTAAAGCAATAATTATATATAAAATTATATTCTGAACAACTCTAGTTAGGAAATCAAAAAGGTTATCTTAGTAAAAAAAAAGTTTCTATGTACTAATATCAAATTTTCAGTTTTTCTATATAAAACCTTTTTTCTGCTTAGATAATCTGTTCTGATCTCTTAAGCAAATTTGTTTAGCACACAATTCTACATATTTTGTATCTTGCCGATTTTGTTTTTTTGAATATTTTACTAAGTAAAAGATTAGATCAAAAGTTATACAAAAAATTTTTTATATAACCTTTGATCCAATCTTTTATTTAGTAAAATATTCAAAAAAACAAAATCGGCAAGATATAAAGTATGTAGAATTGTGTGCTAAACAAATTTGCTTAAGAGATCAGAATAGGTTATCTAAGCAAAAAAAAGTTTTATATAGAAAAACTGAAAATTTTAATATTAGTATATCGAAAACTTTTTTTTTACTAAAATAACCTTTTTGACTTCCTAATTGGAGTTGTTCAGAATATAATTTTACATATAATTATTGCTTTAAAACTATTAAATTTTTTCTTTTAGCAGAGTTATATTTTTAAATTATACAAAAATTGCAAAATTTTAATTCAATTTCAAAAGCATTTTATTCACCTCTTTTTGATGTATTTATTTGTAAAATTTAATTTAAAGTTAATATATAAGGGAAGAAACATCATTGCAACAAAGTTTATATGTAATTCTATATATTTTTGCTATAATTTTATATATATATAATACTCTATATATAAAATATATGACAAATCGGTTGACTGATATTACATATAACTTTAAATAAAAATACTATATATATATATATTTTGTTTATATCAAAGATAATCGATTTAAAAAAAAATTAATTGTTTTCTATGCTACTTTTATACTAACCTTTACAATTAATATATTTATTTAAAACATTCTTTATCACAGATTATAATAAAATTAGATTAAAATAAAATAAAGGGTTTCTATTTGATCTTCTAAAATCTACTTATACTTGTTTATTATAAAACCTGGTTTTAAATCCTAATTCTAAACCTAAAAAAATGGTAAAAAAATACTTTCTAAAAATTTGTATTTTTTGGTAGCTTGTCTATTTTACACTATTCTTTATTTTATTTTAATTCGATTTTATTTTAATCTGCCACATTCTTTTTATTCTTTTTTTTTTCTTATTTTCTCTTTATCTATTTTTATTTTTATTAAATTTAGATTTTTTCTTTATTGATCTTCTCTTGCTTTTTTATTAATTTATATTTACTTTTGCTTCTTTTTCATTAACTTTTGTTACTAGATCTTCTTTATTACTTTTTTTTCTTCTTTTTTCTCTTTTTTTCTTATTTTTTATAATTCTTTTTTTCAAAATATGCTGGCAGTATGTGCATTGTAATTGAGAGTTTTCAAAATCTTACACTATAACTTAATATATTTTACAAAACTATCTATATTTTCAAAACTCTACAAATTATATAGCTAATATTGAACTAGATGATAATATTTAGAATTTTTTGAAATATAATTCTAATTATAAGTATTTTACAAAATATGAGATATATGATTAATTGGTGATTTGCCACTCAACCAGAGAGAGCTCATAGTATAACGTGATATGGTTTACATATAGAAATTAGAGTTTTTGGAATGTGAGCTGCTACTATTTAAAACTTTTTTCCGTACTAAGTTAATCACCTTTGGGCCTCTAATTGAAGTTGTAGAGCTCATTAAAACAAATCTAATGGTGGTTGAAATCGGCTTTGTAGATCACAAGATATCTTCAAAAAACGTTTTGCTAACTATGTAAACTTCTCTTTCAATATAATACTATTGTTGAAAGAGAAGTTTATATAGTTAGCAAAATGTTTTTCGAAGATATTTCATGATCTACCAAGACAATTTTGATGATTCAACTACTATTAGATTTGTCTCAATGAGCTCTACAACTTCAATTATTGGCCCAAAAATAATTAACTTAGTATAAAAAAGTTTTAGATAGAAGCAGCTTACATTTCAAAAACTCTAATTTTTATATATAAACTGCATCATATTACACTATGAGCTCTTTTTGGTTGAGTGGCGAATCACCAATTAATTATTTAATAATAGTTTTAAAATATTATAAAATGATTATATTTATTTATTATTAGTATTATTACCATATATTTTCAAAATAGCGAGTATAGGCATTATTTCAAATTTTGGTCTGAATTAAGTTTAATTTATACCAAAATTCAAAATAATACCTATGGTTGCTATTTTAAAAATTTATAATATTATTAGTATTTGTTTATTATATTTCATTTAGAGCAAATATATATCAATATTACTATAATCTGAATTAAGTTCAGGTAAACATTTTTTTATAAAAACTAAATCTTTTTAGTCTTTTTTAATAGCTATTAAAGCATTTCAAAATATATTTAATAAAAGTAATTCTAATAATGATGATATATTGTTTAATATTATCAATAAATTGCAACATTCAGAAACTAAGTCTTATAAAGGTGATCCTGAAGAATATAAAGGTCTTTATTTGATGATGATTTTTATAACTTATATTATTTATTAAGTATCAAATAAACAATTCATCTATCTATAGCAACTCTTTCCACTGATCATCAAAACACAAATTTACAAAAAAAACAAAACAACAAAAACAACAAAAACTCTTCAAGGCCACTAGAAAACCAAACTCGTAGCTCTAAGAAAAGAGGAAGAGGATAACAAGAAATACTCAGTCTCTTAGAAGACTTGAGTAGAAGAAGCAATTCTAGCAAAAAAATAGAAAAAGTTATGAAAAATCATCAATATTTTTTTGCATTTTATGAATTTTTTGGGGAATTGGCCTTGACTCTGAATTGTAAATCTGTTTTGGTGATACAAGATTACAACACATAATGGATAGTAAACAAAGAAAAAATAACAAAAACCATGTGACAAAAGTAAACAATAACAATAAACACGTACAGCACACAACAATAGCTTTTGACAACAATAAAATAACAGCAAGTCACGTGAAGCAAATATTAACAAAATGTCTAGAAAAAAAATTAAGATACCCAAAAAGATGAAAGTGGTATTAGAAGAGATTCAGGCTTTATTAGCAGAAACATCCGAAGAAGAAATAAATGAACAAGTAGAAGAAATAATGGCAGAATATACTGGACAAAAACTTTTTTCAAAAAAGATAGCTGATAAAAGAATAAAAAATCTCTACGAAGAGCTATAGTAGTATAACAGAGGAGAGTTAGAATATATAGCATCTGAACTCATAAAAAGAGACTACGAAACTTTCCATAAAGCAATACAAAATAGTGAAGACCCTGTTAACTGCATCATAGCACAAAAATATTTAATATCTGGAAGGAAATTAAAATAGGCGATAGAATAAGAAAAATACTAATAGATAGGAAAAAGCAAGTTGCTGAAGTAAAGGCAAAAATAGAATTAGGTTGGAGCAAGAGACTTCAAGAACAAAGAAGAAGCCTACAAAAACAGCATAACAAAACAGCACTGAAATCTATAGTACAACAATTCAAAGAATCTGTCAAGTCTTCCACAGCAACATATCACAAGACTAAAAAGAAAATCAAAGAAGCAAAAGACAAGAAGATACAAATTTTGCAAAAGAAAAAACAAATAGCTGAAATAAAGTCGAATTTAAAAGCAGGCTGGAGCAAGAGACTTCAGGAACAAAGAAAAATTTGACAAGGGCAAAGCAATAAAATAGCATTAAGAACTCTGGTTGTAGAATTTAAAGTATCGGCCAAACTAGAATTAGCAAGACAAGAAAGAAGAAGAAGAATAGCTAAAGAAAGAAAAGAAAAGAAAGTTAAAAAATTAAAGCCCAAAGTTATTATTGAAAAAGAAGACCTAGGCAAGATCCAAGAAGACCCAAGACCAAAGGCCGAATTAACAAACCCAACAGAATAGTTGATCGAAGTAATATATCAAATTAGTATTAAAGATTCACAGACTAATGGTAGAGCATGAAAGATGAAAAAGAAAGACCTGCTTATAAAATGGATACAGTATTTGAAGACCCAAAGAAATATTGATACAAAATAGATCCAAGATATTTCGACACATAGGCAAAAAGGAGCCAAGAATTAGAAAAAGAAGAAAAAAGATATATTATTGAGGATATTAGAAAAGATCTTTGTAGAAGTCTTTGAAGATCAGAGAATTTGGAACGAAATTCAAGAGAAACTTCTGGGTAGAAAACTGAAGCCTAGAAGGAAAAAAGGAAAGAAAAAGACAAAGAAGAAAGAAAAAGAAGACCTACAAATTTAGATCATGAAAGAATAAGAATCAGAGCAGGCTATTCAAGACTTAAAAGTGGAAAGACCAAAGGAAGGCCCAAGGTACTTTGAAGAAAAGAAGGCTTACAGAAGAATATGTATAGAAAAACTCATTAGAAAAAGCTCTCAAGAAGTAGAAAAATACCACGGTACTGCGAGACAAGAAGAGAAAACTAACGAAAAGAATATAAGAAGTTTTCTAAGAGCTGGGTCATCTATTGGTAAGGACAAACTTATCTGGAGAACTGGGTCCCTAATTGGAAAAGATAGATTAAACTAGAAGAAGAGAAAAAAGAAATACAAATATAAACGAAAGAATTCTGGCAATAACCCTTTATTAAGAAAAAGATTAAATTGTTTATTTGCAGAAGATTAGTTTTAGGATATTATTTGAAAAAGGAGGATAGTTTAGAAAAGAAAATTACTAATTTGATATAGTTAAAAATTCTTTCAATTTGAAACTATTGTATTATGGTTTCACTAGCTAGCTTGGTGCAGCTCTCTGATATAGGCAATAGTTTTAATCAGTAAAGCAGACTACACTTGGGCGCCTATAGAGGAAGCTGAGTGATATTGAATCTGTAACTTAGATAGTATATAATGTTTTATATTAGCTTTAATCTAATAAAGATATCAGCAAGGCTGCCAATAGTTAAAAAAAAAAAAAAAAATAGATAATTTATCTATCATCTGGAGAGAATCTGCAAATTTTATAAATAAATTTTACTATTAAGCCAAATGTGGGGAGATTTCTTTTAAAACTTTTTTTCTTACTAAGTAAATTACTCTTAGGCTTCTAACAAAAGTTGTAGAGCTCATTAAAATGCATCTAATGGTAGTAAGAATGCTAAAATTGGCCTGGTGATTCTTGAAAAATCTTTAAAAAACATTTTATCAACATATAAAATTTCTTTAAAAAAAATCGATTTTTTTTAAAAAAATTTTATATGTTGATGAAATGTTTTTTAAAGATTTTTCAAGAACCA